TTCATTATGTATAACTGTTGAATATAAGCTGTTATTACGTGTATCAGGTAAAAATGTATTATAATTTAATGGTGTTGCGTCAATCGTTAATGGTATTACTTTTACATAATCTCTGTGAAAAGATATTGTACTTATTGCTTGACTCGAGATATCTTGTGGAATATTTATAAATGCGACTGGATGAGACCATTCAGGGTTCCAAACGTAATCTGATTGTTCTGCAATGACAGTGTCGTCATTGATACTTTGGGGTCTAAAATTTTTTCTTGCTTGTGAAATTAAATCTAGGTTGTGGGTAAAATAATCTATTATAAACCATGCTAAAATCTTTTGCAAATCATGTTTAGTGTTTTGTGAAACATCATTATTGGTAAAATTTTCGCGGATTGTATGTAGAAATGTTGAAAAGACTGTGATTTCATTTCTTACTTTTGTATGTTTGGATGTTTCGGTTGGTGATATACTTTGAACTTCTGTTTTTTCTAATATAGATATATAATTATATATTATTGCAAAAACTTCATTAGTGAATATGGAGTTTGCTTTTTGTCAATTATGATATTGTATGCTTTTGATATATTCTATGAATACTTTTGAAAACTCTAATTCAATATCGTCTGTTTGAATTACATATTTATTATGAGCTGTTTGTGGTGTGCTGAATTCTATGGTGTACATTCCGTATTGTTGTGTTAGATTACAAATGTTTTTCAAATAATGTTCTATAATTCGTCTGTTGATTTTTACATCCGGGAATTCTGCTTTACTTGGACTGATTCCTGGTTCAAACAAATTTACGAGTAAGTTTTAACAAAATCGTGTTTGTCCTCTATCATCGAGTGAATCTATAAGAAAGGGAAAAACTGCTTCTTCATCTGGACTCTCGTCACTTTGAGTGTGGCTCATTTTTTCGTTTGATGATTGTTAATATATAACTATCAATATGTCTAATTGGTTGATTCCAATCATATAGGTGTACTGGTTTGTGTTTATATTGCTTTTTTATTCTTCTTTTTCCTCTTTTTGATGAGTTTGAAGTTGTTTCTGAATCGGAAAAATTTAATTGATCATGGATGGGAAATTTTTTATTTATTTATTCTTTTAATTTGTATAGTTCGTCTAAACTGTTGGCTTCTGATTCGGAAAATGCGTTTCTATTTTTTGGAAATCTTTTACGTGTGATTTGTCTTTGTTTGCTTATAATTTTTCTTTTTATTGTTTGTCGTTTTGTTCGAATGTATCCAACTGTTTGTGTATGTGGAGTTATTACAAGATCGTATTTTTGGTTGTCTATTTCACAATTGTGTAAAACGATTGTTTGTTTATTTCCTAGATTTTTGAATGACATAAGTTTTAGGATGAGGGATGCATAAAGTTGTTAGGTGATTTCTATTTTCTTAGACTGTTAGTCCTTACGATTTTTTGGTTAGCTTAACCTGGGTCTTTTTGTTCAGGGTTGGAGAGAAAAGTATATCGATTCCGAAGAATGATTTTTTACTTTCTCGTGGCTAGTCTAAGCTAAGGTGTTAACTTACTTAATCTTACTTAGGGGTAGTGATTGTGTTCAAGGGTTGGAGAATAGTAAATCGATCCTCAAGGTTCAGGTATAATTAGAACGCAAGTAGTTCGTTAGATACTATTTTAAACTTACTAAGTCTAAGATTTATCCTGGGTCTGGTAAGAGGAGGGTTCAAGTAGAGAACGAATAACCGAAGTTTAGCCTAAATTAAATGGTTAGTGTTATTAAAAATTTCCATTAGTCCTGGGTCTTTTGAAAAGGTTGGATAGTGAATCGACGTTTGAGGTCGTTAGACATTTGCTAAGTGGGTAGGGGAGAACAAAATTGTTCTTTTTGATCCAAGGATAGGGATTGATGATCAGATTTTAAAATTAATGAAATAGAAAATTTATAAAGATCCAAGGATAAGCCTTGATGATCTAGTTTAAATTTAAGTAAATTTAAGTTTAAATGGTTTAAATTTATTTCATAAAAAATTTTAGTTTTTAATGATGTTAGTTAGCTTTTGATTGCTGTTATGTTTAGGTGATGAAGCTGGAACAACAGGATGATTTATAATTACTAACAAATAATTGTCATGCTACTAATTTTTATTTTTTTTTCAATAAATATTTTTCAAATATGTTTTATATAATACTGCAGAAATTGAGGGAACAATCGAGATCTTTTTGTCAATCGTTATTGTACATTAATAATTTAGTTTAGCGCCTGAAATAATCATGAAGGTTTACTTCAAAATTTTATGTTTGCAATTGAAAATCTGAATTCATTGCTAATAAGATTCTAAATTTAAAAGTTTGTGTTGGCTTTTGCCGTACAACCATGAAACTAAATGGTAAGTTTCTACGTAGTCGTATGTCGTCTCTTGTCCGAGGTCTTCTTCCAATACCGGGTAGTTCTAGTATTGTGCGGAATATCGGCTCTGATCTATTGAGTCGTAGAGACATTTCAATTAAGTTATTATCATATAACATTTTGAAAATGTTTTGTCTAATTTCTAATCTATATTTGGTTAATTCTAAGCTAGTAAGGTCTTATTCGAGACTCATGGTCGCACCAGATGAGTTCGGTCCTTGTGGTTAACTCATAGAGTAATTTCAGATAGGGTACACTGTCTGCTCGTCACGCTATCTTATTTTCGGCCGGATAGATTCGTGCAACTTCTTAGTCTAATACCGATCCTAATCTTACTCTTATATCTACTAGTCTCAGGGTGTTTAACTAGTCTCTGCTAGGCTCAATAGATCTAGAGTATACTGGCTTATTGCAACTGCTGTAGTTCTCTTGGAGAGGCAACTAATTTCTAAGTTAAATTCAAATCTCTCTGGTGCTGAAATTACAAGTAATTTCAGCACTTACAAATAAGTGGGTTGTTAGTTAGATGGATTATGATTGGTTAATATTAAATATTTTACAGTGGTAAAATATCTAATTTATCCAATAATAAAATGTAGTTTAGATCAGGTTCCAATAACCTTAGAGAAAATTTCAGGAAATTCGGTGCAAGTTTACATACTATATCAACGGCTGCGCCGCCTTGACCTCAGTGTATTTCGTGACTTTGATCGCACTGGATTGAGCGTAGTCTCTCAAACTACCACTTTGGGATCGGAACAACTCATCAGAGAAGAAATTGCAAATCATTGCAAATAATTTAGTTACATTTAGCTATACAATTTCTGCTACTGCTCTTTATTTCACGGGAACGTCTTAAAAGTAACTCAAAAGATGAAAAAAACAAGTAAATAACTATAATCGTTTGCCAAGTAAGAAACACCTAACGTTCGGTGCCGCGAAAACAAAAAACGATTCGTAACGACAGACAATTCGTAAATTTCAAAAAATCGACTTTACTCGCAACGTTTGAAAGTTTCGAATAAAGTTTTGCCCTCTGTTGGCAAGCTCGCAACGCGTAGGTGCAACTGAGGCAGTGAGTATTCTCCCAGTTGTTTTTGATGCTTTTTTCTATTGTTGCGAGTTTTTTTTTGTGGCGAGTTGTTGTTTTAAGCTAAGGTTCTTGCAAGTTGTTGATAGCACTGAATACCTTACAATCATAACTCCATGGGGGAGCGGTGGTGAAGTGGTTACGTCTCCGCCTCTCAATCGAAAGGTCGGATGTTCGAGGCCCACCATGATCCGTGCTCGTTGCTTGGGGGTGAAGCAACATTACCCAGCCCAGAAAAATAACCAAAAAAATTGCATGTAGTTCTTAATCAGGGGCGCAACAGCGGTTCGCCGTGATGAGCTGTACATAACTCGACGCTTGGGTAACTTAGTCGGGCCTTGCAAAATATGGTCATTGGAGCTAGATTCAATAACTGATAAGTCGGAAACTTAAAAGGCGCTACTTTAAAAAGCTCATTTTCAGAACTCAATTTGAGGCCTAAAATTTTGAACGCATTTTCAGAAGGTTAAATGTTTTCACTTTCACATCTGAACTTTTCGCACCTGTAATTGCACCTGAGTCTGATAAAACCACTCAAAATTTAATATATGAGCAACCAGTTTTCGTAACCGAAATAACTTCAATCAAAATCTTACTACACCCCATAGTGTCCTTATAACTCCCTGATATCGATCCCAGAATGTCAAAGCGACCATCAAATCCAGCTTCTTTTCTAAACTTCAGAAGATGATGCGATCATTCTTCCAGAAGAAGGGAGAATGCCTTCTCAGTCCCATTTCTAGTCTGCTAGCTGAACTGGAATCATCTCAAGTGACACTCGAGCCAGGATGCCAATCTTTTAGCAGCACGGGTGTTGCCGACGATGAGCTTCCTCATCTAGTGACGCCAATCACTTGAATCTGTGACGTCTCTTTTTCACTGGCTTCGAGGAGCATCACCGACCCATCTCCGCCGATAATGAACTACATCGACCTGGGTCGCTTCCGCTTGAATGGGCCTGACATGCCAACCAAAGAAAAAATCCAGCTTTTTGAGGGTGCTAATCAGCCACCATTTTCCGCCAGTAGAAAGGAAGGGTCATTTAAGGAAAGTCTTAGCGACAGCAAGGTCGAGCGAAGTTTCCTTTGTTTGAACTTTTTTTCTAGAAATTCCCTCAAAAAATGTCTGCGCACGCCATTGATTGGCAGCCTTAGATTTTGATAAAATAAAAAGGAAGCATGATCACTCAACCAACTACGGCGCTTGTTTTTTCATCAAAACTGATGTTCATTCTAGATGCAGTGCTATTTATAATCATAAAAATGAACAATATGGACTATTTCAAGAAAAACTGGTAGGAACAATTTTTTTGTGGAGTCAGGTGCTAAGAATTCTCCCAATAATTTGTAAAACTTATTCGGGAAAACTAAAACTAGAAAGCCAAAACCATAAGCCAGTTGAACGCTGGCACAAGGAATTCCAGATGGCAATGAGATGTGCCCATCCCACCATTCGTCCCACCCCACCATTTGTCGCTTTTTATAAATGCTAAATGTAACAAACTTTGCTTTGACAAAACAGATTTTTTCAGCTAAACTTTCAATTGATGTTATCTATTCCATATTTAGCAAAAACATTGTATACTCGAACGTTAAAATTTAGGTTCAGTTGTTTATTGTTGCATCTGCTCATGATTTACGACAGGTGTTAGTTCCGTACATTGTCTCTGGATCTCAATATAAGCGTTGGATGTGATTGGTTTACTTTGAAGAGGTCTCAGTGGGCCAGTACAGACTGAGATAGGCCTCCTTCCATCTGAACTTCCGCAAATCCCCACCACTGAAAGTCTTCCTCATTCCTGGCTCCTTAAACACAACAAAGAATACTTTAAATTTTATAAATTTTCCCGAATTATAGCGATAAAAGCAGCAACCAGGATTTTCTCGAGGGAGGGGAGGCAGATTTTCAATTTTCTTTGAAAAATTAGTCGTTTTTTTAGGTCGACCTAATTTTTAACAAAACTGGTCAAAAAGCCATTTTTGTGCACTTTTTGGAAAACGTTTATAAAAAATAGCTTTTTGTGCGAACTCTCGATCAAATTAGTATATAATTCCGCCAAAGGCGCCTTTAGCAAAATTTTAAGGTCGTTCAGCCAAAATTGGATTTCTTTTGGGTAGGCAGATCTTTTGGGTATACGTTTAGATCTTAAAAGGGATTATGGTGAATGAAATCTGTCATAAATTGTAGTTGACTTCAATCCTGATTTGTTTCTCTTCCGTACCTTGGCTGTGCGCAGTGGTGTGCGTAGGAACTGGTCTCCCCCGAAGCTGCAGTGTCGCTCTATCTGGGGCAGTTTCCCATTGTGCAGATGGACGTCATGTGCACCAGGCCTGGTCGGAAATATTCAGACATGGGCTTACAATTACCTGAAAATCTTTTGCGCCACATATGTGAATTATTTAGGGTCCACTTTTTTCACCCTTTTATGTAAAAGTTGCAAAACTTCGAGCTAGTGTTTTTTTTATCAGCGCAAGCTTTCCTGTTATATAAGTGGATAGTAGCCACAAATTCGTTCAATGAAACACTGAATCACCGTGTCAGTGAATAATTTTTAGTTTTCGTGTCATAAGTTGTGAGAGCTTATGAAAATGAAAGAACTGTTGCGTGTACTCACGGGGGTCCCCTAGTTTGTTGCTCATCCACGACTGACTTGCGAGTGGCGGCTGAACCGAATGGCTTGTAGCTCCTCCTCCCTTCGGACCCAGCCGACTCAGACAGTCTCGTCAGGTCCCTCTGGTAAGTCACAGGAGAAGGAACACTCAACTTCTCCTGCACAAAAAATATTCAATTAGGAGTTTTGATTGTTGGGCAAAAAATCGTAACAGTCGACAATTTTTAGCAGCAGATTTAATGACAAAAACCGATACGGCGTATCCGGTAGTGATGGTGCCCAGAAATTATACGATTACGGGTTCAAACCGCACGTGCGCAGCAGTTTTCAAGGTGATTGCTTTTAAAATATTCTTAATGGGCTCATGGTTATGTGAGCTCTAGTGCAACCTATAGTAATTTAGTAATTACCTTCTAGGTTAGGAATCCGGGCTGGTAGACAAAAAAGGCAGTTTCCTCTAAAAAAGGCAGTTTCCTAAAAAGCTGGATGCTCACCTTGGATGCCAGAGGTATGCGGAATGGTCCAGTCCGGCCACTGATGCCGACCCCCAAAATACTCTCACTTCTGCCCGGTCTCTTCTCGAGTAGACGCACAAAATCGCTGGTCTCACTCACCTACAAACAGTCCTTTATGAGCTTGGATTTTTGGCTAAACGTCTGTTGAATTAATGTTGCTTTCTTCAATTTCGCACAAACAGAAAAGCTATTAATCGCAATTTTTCTAAGCTGGCTTTCTTTTTTAGAACACAATTATAGCTGTTTTTTTTCTCAGCTGGCTATTTATTTTGGAACTCACATTTAGCTTAAGTTTTTTTCAGAAATTAAATTTTACATTTTTTTTACGAGTTTTCTTGAGAATTTTTTAAAGCTTTCTTGAGAAGTTATAGTTTAAGCATATTCTCCCAAACTGTATTTCAAATTGTATTTCACTTGATCGAGTAGAAATAAAATGATTTTGACATAGTTTCTAATGGAGAAAAATAATAAAGTTGATATACTGGTCTGATCGAAAGATTCCGAAAAGCTGATAAATGCCAATAAGAGCCGATTGAATGATAGAGCATGGTCTATTATGGGGTCGCATAAAGTACCGGGTATGTGCCTGGTCCGACTACCGGAGGGGTTGAGTTGACATTGTGCTGGTTGCCCAGTCTGTCGAATGCCGGCTGTCCTGGGTAGAGTCTTCTGTCCTGGCACGAATGAAAACACACGTTGCTCTCCTTCTCTCCCTCCAAGATATCTGAATTGATTGAAACAAATAAACATATTATCAAATAGTTTATTCACGTTTCTCAGTAAAAGTTCTTCAAATTGAATGTAAAATATTACAAATTACAAAACTCTTCGTTTCGTTTTTTTTGCAGCAGATAACCTATTTTAATGCTCTGGATTTTTTTATCTGACACACTGGCAACAATGGATTAAGAATGATTTTAGCATGAAAACGTATGAAAATAAAAAGGAGATCGATTTTAATATAAAAAAGATGTAGCTTAAATAAAAAACTTAAAATTGACTGGAAAATCAACTTGAATTTATCTGAAACTTGCAAAAAACAACCCTAATCCAATTTTCAAGCAAAACCATTTTCAAGCAAAAACATTAACAAATAACTAAAAATTGCAACTGAAAAACTTCTTGATTTTTTACTTAAACGTCTGTTCAAAAATGGATTTACATTTGAATGCGTGTAAAAAAATTTGAATAGGTTTAAGAGAATAGGAAATTCCATCCAAATTCTTTTTTGTAGTTTTTATTTACGTTGTTTAAGGTTGAGCTTTTGATGCAGTTTTTTGTTAAAACTCGGGAATTAAAAAACGAAGTTTTCTTCTGTCAGTAACTTGTTTTTTTTTGCAGTTTTAGTTTGGAAAATGATCTTTAAAAAGTATTGGAAATTTTTTTAGACGCTTTATTTATCTGCTCAGAAGTCTTTAAAAAAGACTTGATTGGATTTTTGTTAAAATTTCATAAACTTTAATAAAAATTGAATCGATTTTAAAGAACAGGAAACTCAATTCAAAACCATTTTTTAAGTCATTTTTTGTTTATGTTTTTAGGGGAAATAAAACGGTCAAATAACAGTCGAATGTTATAGAATTCGACAGTTATTTAGATCAAAATTAGATTTAAATTGACTATGATTGTGAATTGTTATTTGGTTTTTTGCTCAAACTCTGATTGATTTAACTGATAGTGTTCTTCAACTCTATTGCAAGTTTTTCAGCTCAAAATTTGGTTATATATAATTCGAACAATTTTAAGCACAAATTTTAGGCTAAAATTACAAAAAAAAACATGAACTAAGAATTAAAATGTGTCTATTAAATAAAAATGTTTATTTTGACACCTTCTTGACTTGTTACATCATGATTTCAATAAAAACTTTTCTCGATCTCAAAACGTGAAATAGATCGACATTTGTTACTTAAACCTCAAAATCAAGTTTATAGAAACAAATTGTTTATTTTTTTTTGTTTCATCGATGTTTGCCCAAAAACTGATTATTATTGACGTTTTTAATGGGTTAATTGCATGTTTTTGCGCTCAAAATTAGATTTATTTTGATCAGTTCCTTGCTTTATTTTATAGGTTTTTGCCCAAAATCTGATTTGGGCCAAAAAACTTTCTACGATTTTTTTGCTGATTTTTGGGCTCAAAATTGTTCTAAAAATTTTATTAACAATCTAATTAGCTCAATTTAAAATCCATTTAGAGCCCTAAAATGTAAAAGTTAAAACTTTTTGGATAAAAAAATCAATTTAAAGTCAGACTCAATTGATTCGAAACCATTTTTCTTAGTGTGGGGGTCTGTTTTGGCTTTTAAACATTATAAAAACACCAGTATGCCACATGATTTCAAGCTTTATTTGAAAAATTTATCAAACCAAGTAGAAGGTAAAACAGCGTTTTGGCACGAAATTTTTTTCGAGTGACCGTATTTTGTTTGTGTTATTCACGAGTGCTGATACCAGATAAACAACAACTTATTTTGCATCTCAAAATTTAATGCTGTCGGGGCACTGCGTGTCTTGATTTGCGTCACAAAATTTCATGATGCAATTTATAATTGTTGTTTATCTGTTACGTAATTCACTTGAAGCTTTTATTCCACGTGGAAGCTAATTGTTGACTTGATTCAAACCTAAAATGTTATTAAGTGTCTGCGGTCATTTTTTGCGTTGAAAAACAATTTGGACTGGAATTAGGTTCGAGGTTTTCAGATTTTGTAACGCGTCAAAACACAATCAAATTCAAATAAATATTTCGGTTCCTCTATCCTCAAACTATCTTTTTTGCTTTCAACTGATAATGGTTTTTTGGTTGGCTGAGCAGTTTGGAAGTATGATTGTGGGATCACTGTTTCAATTTTTTGGATGTTAAAAATTACTTGAAGTGGTGTTTAATCTGTAACAAATGGTTGAATCATAGGAGCTGTTGTAAATTTTTTATTTGTCATTATCTGCTGGGTTGGGCAAACGCAAACCACATTTAAATAAAACACAACGCCACGAGTTTAAGATGTCTTTTAAACTGTGGTCATTGATATAAGTGCATGTATCGTGTACTATTACTTCGCCCTTTTGTTTAAGAAAGATTATATTTTTTAATTCGATCTCGAGAGTAAAGTAAGGACGATAGGGGGTCACTCATGCCTTTGTTTGGCATGGGCATCAATCAAGCAATAATTGTCAAGTATGCCCATATATTTCGAGTCCTACTTTGATGCTGTGTCCAGTATTCTATCCCAGAAAATTTTGGATCCTATTTTCAGAATAAACCCTTAGTAAGAGTTTTCGAAAGAGTCAGTTTGCTTTCTAGCGTGTTGTTTACTAATGTGTGATTGGACCGGAGTTTTCTTGGACCATTTTTGTTGAAGTTAGTTTGGAACCCAAAAATCTTGAATAATATTTGCATTTTGGGCTGTTTTGTCCGGGTCTTCAAAATCTGGGACACAACTATTAAGACAAGAAGTTTTACATGCTTTTTAAAAGATTTCGCTTTCAAAAATTTTAAGCATGATGGCATTTTTAATAAAATGCCAGACTCTATAGATACTCTTCAATTCAATTGATTTTATCCCATCAGATGGCAAAATATTTCATTTTTTAAAAAAATTCTTGCAACATTGTTAGAAGTAAATCAATGAAACAACTGAATGAAACATCTTCAGTGCAACTTTGTTTGTTATTTGAAGAAATTGCTACTCGCTAAAAAAATTGTACTAAGAGACTTGTGTTGAGAAATGCTACTCCGAACGCAACCACTGAAAAAATCTGGGCAACTGAATATAACAAATAGTTAAATTCAACTTGGTTAAATGAATTGGTTAGTAAGCAATAAATTTACTGTTTCTATTGGCTTGACAAAATTATTAGTATAAATTACAGTTTTTACCTTGTAGGGTAAGTTGAGTGATTAAGGCAGGCATGTTGAACTTTTCTTAAAAAATAACGATTTAAAATTTGAATGTAAACAATTATTTGTTTATATGGTGAATCTAATATGTGTGTTTTGGCGCATGAGATGGCGACTGCTTTTATACCATGCTGCTCTGAGCAAATAGTGTTTTGATGAAGACTATTGATTTTGTGTTCATTTACTGGTTCCACTCTTTGTGCTGTTGTAATATTCAGTGCTGTTGTAATATGAAACAAAACAGGTGCATATAAACGTTGTTTTACCACAAGAACCACAAAAATTGGTAGGCTGCGTTTAAAAAAGGCATAGTATACAACTTTGAGCTCAAGTGGACTTCAGTTTTTTGAATCTGAAGGATGTGGTATTTCTCACCGTTACTGTAAAGCACTCCAAATTTAGCTATAAAAGCTCATCTAATCATAAAATCCGACACAAGGAACCGAGTTATATATTATCCGCCATGGTTTAACCCAACTGGATCTATTTAACAAATTCCTCCCTCCCCCCTATGGCATCTACTAAAGAATCTCCACCCCTGAAAGTATTTACGGCCAATTAACACTTGAGTTTTGCATTGACAATTCTAACTTTGCTGCATTTGAGTTGGGACTGAGGTCTAACTCATAGGGTATTTTCAGATAGGGTACACCGTCTGCTCGTCACGCTATCTTATTTTCGGCCGGATAGATTCGTACAACTTCTTAGTCTAATACCGATCTTTATCTTACTCTTATATCTCTTAGTCTCAATAGATCTAGAGTATTTTGGTTTTGTTACGAGTCGGTCTCTTGGAAAAGACAACTAAGTCTATTGTTAAACTCAATATGCTCTGGTGCTGAAATTACAAGTAATTTCAGCACTTACAAATAACTGGGTTGTTAGTTAGATGGAGTGTGATTGGTTAGTCTTTAATATTATATTTTATTATCTAACCAATAATAATATATAGTTAGGATCAGGTTCCACCCATCCGGGGTTTACAGAGTTTTTGTTATTTCGACTTCTTTCTGCAATGGAGGATGGATGATGATCGTTTGTATTTTGCCAGCACCCTTTCTATTCCGTCCTTGGAGGTATGAACTCCAGAAAGTTGGAATCAACGAGTTTTTTTGTGATTTCAAAATGGTTTGTTCTTGATCGGTGTGGAGAACTGTGTTTTGATCTGAATTGGGAATGGTGTGAAGCTCGAGTTTGGAGGGAATGCCCTGTAACTCGGATCTGTACGTATACTTGAACATCGAGGTGGTCATTGGTCTGTTTCAATGAAGTCCTTTGCTTCAGAGTCAAGTCGTACTTCAAATCCTTTGAGTTGTGGTTGTGAGCGGCATATCGGTTGTGCTCAGCCATTCTGTGGGTTATGTGTGATGAGGTCGTCTTAGCTGCTTGATGCTCGTCTTCGTGATTGTGTATGGGCTATATTACTGCAATAAATAATTTATATAAATAAATGTTTAGTTAGTTCTTCTTTTTAGTTATGAATTTTTATTAGTTTTTATCGCAAAAGCTTTTTTTTTTATTTCAGTTATTTTAAAAGAGTTACTCACACTTGAGTACCTCTTATCAAAATTAAGGAGTCTGTCACAAAACGTGTGTTCTAGCAAGGTGGGTTAGGCCGGCTATTAAGCATGCTCAGGACGTAGTCCTAATCTGGTGGGTTAGGCCAGGAGTGAGAGTATGATTTCATGCTGATTTTTGTGGGGTCCTGTTTTGTGTTAACCTTTTATGTCGTGTTTGTTACTGGTTTTTTCCTTTTGTTGTTTTGGTTGTGTCCTTTTCTCAAAATCAAATTGTTTGGTTTGGGTTTGCGTTTCGACTTTTTGGTGTTTTATACTTTCTTTTTTAGACTTATCAATAGTCTTCAAAAGAATAAATTATCGGTTCTTTAAGCTGCTTTAATCCGGTTTGGGTACCGTGGGTTTTCTCTTCTTAGTCATACTGTTAGTTTTTAGTTTATGGTGTTTATTAAGCTGCATTGGTTAGTTGAGATTATTATATAATTCCTTTCCAACCGGGTTAAAAGAAAGTTTGAAACTTGTTATTAATAGTTTGAGTTGTTATTAGTGAAAGTCAAAACTTGAAATCATTATTTTAAACAATTCGTCGTGAGCGAGCTGTGCGAGTGTGCATAGAATTTATGTGCGCGTGAAATGATTCTTCAAAAAGGTTAGTACTGCTGGCATTTGTATAGATTTACTGCTGAAAATTTTAAATTTACTGCTTTGTGAGGATTGAAATTATTAAATTGTTTTCAATGTATTTAGGTTTACTGCATTGGGGAAAAAAACCAATAGATGATTTTACCACTGGGGAGAAGAAATTTTACTGCATTATTTATTGCGGTTTGTTAATAAGAGTTTATAATTTATGAAAGAGTTTGCAAATTTTTATTTTTGTTTTCTGTTTGTAGATGATGGTGATCTAAAGACTAAAGGAAAAACATTTAATAAGAAATGGTTAGTTTGTCTTGATTTTATTAGTGTTAAATTATTGAATTCATATTTACCTAGTCGTCGGAGAAGAAGCCATTTGGGAAGATATCGTGTATCGAATCTGATGTGGTTAGTAATTTTGCTAATATGCGAACAATGTTTGTAGTTTCAAGCAGTGGCCAAAGCAATTCAAGTGCTTTGATGGTGTTCAGTTATTCTGTGCCGATGGAAAACTCGTGGTTGGTGTGCTGGATGAAATTAAAAAGCTTGTGATTATGTTTAGTGTTGTGAATGATTTCTAATATTGGGATTTCTACAGGTTGGATATATTCATGCGGGACAATGAGGGGTCGGGATTCTTCTACATTAAAGGTTTTGGTGAGTCGACAAAATATATACATTTGGGTTAACGGGTCGTAATTTCTGAGGCTGCCTTGAAGTTAGTATTTTTTATGCAGTTGGTGAAATTTAGAATAAATAGTGATGTGTACCTAGAATTAATAAATTGAAATCGATGGTGGGGTTGTCGTGATGGTGTGTGCAAATTAAAGTGGTTTTGAATGAATCTATCATAAGTGTGAGTATGCGTTTGTTTAGTATCAACATGATTTCGTGTGAACAGTGCAGATATCGTTCTTTTGGAGTGAGGAAGTGAAAGGTTAGTGAAAAAGTTTCAAATTTATTGTAAAATGATTTGGCAGCTTGGATGTCGATAAGTGCTTCGGAAGTGATGTGGTCGTGTTTTTTATCCATTGTGCTTAGTGTAAAGATGTAGGGTGTGCGTATGAAAAGTTTTTCGGTTAGTTGCGGGTAAGCGAACTTATCATTGTCGAGGAATTGATCTTGATTAGGTCTGATGATATTGTGGTCATAGTGTTTGATAGAGTACTCATTTACTCGGGGTGCGGTGAAGATAGTTTTTTATATCGTACGTGCGTGAATTGTCTAGGCGTTAGTGTTTTAGTTAGTCTTAAAATGTCATTTTTGCTTTATTCTATTTCGTGAGGTGTGTTATTTAGTGATATACAAAGTGGGTTTGAGAAATGGTAAAATGATGTCCAGTGAAGTGTGGGGATTAGTACATGCTCATCGACATAGTAGGGTTGTTCAAAGTGAGGGTTGGAGTGACTAATGGTATATCGAGGAAAGAGGGGTAAGGAAAATTGGAGGAATTCGGGAGTATTAGTGTGATCAGGGTGATTTATATAATCGCGGGCTGTTCCGGATTTTGAGGGGTACGGGTGATTAGAGAATTTTTTTAAATGTTCGATATGCACGGTTAATAGTGGATGATGATTGGATTGATGTTGAGGATTGGGCTAAAGAAGGGGTATATTCTGAAGAGGATGTAGGAGTTGGTGGGTTTGATGATGTTATGGTTGACGACAATTGGTGAATGGTTAGGGTGTGGGGGTGTTGTATTTGTTGTTGGAATGTTAATACGTTATTTAGTTCAGATGAGATTTGCGTGGTTTCTGGGGACTTGTTGTTGGATCGTTCATTGGTAAAGGGGAGTAAGTTGGGGTTCTATGAGAAACACGAGAATTGGTAGAGGGGGAATAAATTTGGGATTGAGAGTGAATGGGTCGAAAGGGGGGTTGAGAAAATGTTGATGGGCTGGGTTCGGAGTTTGCGAATTCGTCTGGGCTTTCTTTGTCTGAATTGCTAAATTAGGAAATTGTGTTAAAAATTGTGATATCTGAGTTAGCGTCAGAATTTTTACCGGTTGATTTGTTAATATGGGGTGATTCGAGTGGCGGGAAAGCAAAAAGTGGGATAATGGGTATGGGGTTTTAGAGATTGGCTGGATGGGACATTGAACTGTGAAGGGATCCAATTTATTGGCTCATCGTGGGCTAAAATGATTGTTCTGAGATTGAAAATTTGTTGTATGTAGCTGTTCGATTATTTTTTCATATGTATCCTCATTTTGAGATTGTTGTGTTACAATGTGGTGTATTGGACTTTGTATATGATTTGGTCTTGAATTTGCGATATTTACTAATGCAAAATTTCTGAAATTTCGTGGTAATAATGACAATGGATGGTTGCGATTTAAACTTGGTAGTTGTGGTGCTGTAGATAATGTGCTTGTGTTGTGTTGTGTTGTGATTCGTCATATGTGTTTGGTGTAGTTGATAATTTTGTATTGTATTCTTTTATTTGTGCATCTAAAAGTATTTTATTTATAGATTTGGAAAATTTTCTAAAAAATTCTGCAAAAAGTATGCGTGCTACGCTTGCTTGTCTATTTACTTGTGTGTGGATTGCGCATAAGTTATAATTTCCTTTTAACAAACAGAAAATAAATCCAATAAAATTAAACATTGCGTATAACAAAGTTAATCTTTCTAAGATGTAATATGGCCATCCTAGAAAGGATAAAAGTTCGTTTTTGAAATTTACAAAACTAAAAATATTGATTGGTGATATATCTTTCGGTCGATATTTTTCGCCGTTTAAATAAATATAATCTTTAATATCTTTAAAATATCCGCTGTAATTTTGTGCGTAAATGTTCGATAATTCTGCTGTTTGCGCAAGTTTACGTAAGTTTTCATCTATTGGTTGTCCTTGTATAGTGTCCATTTTTGTAAGTAGTTCATGAAATTGTTCTATACGTATGTGGTGTTGTATGTAGGATTTGGAATAGATGCCGATCGATTGTAAATCGATATTCGGATTTCGGGCAATAGCTCTAATACTTTCAGGTAAAATTTTTTTAGTGGTGGCAATAGTGTTGGATATGGCGTGAGTAGGTAGTATTTATCTTCATCGGGATTTAGTTGTACAACATTGTGGCTATTTTCTGATCCACATGGTACCGCTGTATCCCAAAAATAAATTCTTCTTGAAAGCGTATCAACAAAACATACTTTATTTTGTAGAATATAGGTATTCTTTTGTAACATCGTTTATACTCAAAAACATATAAAGGTGATACTTTTTTGGTGCAAGTGTAATACCATAAGATGTTTTCTTCATAATCAATGAAATTTGACTTATTTCCGGATAATAAATATCCTGCTTTTTGGTATATCTATCGTATTTATATATTATTTCTGTTAATATAAATGGAGGAGTTAAAGATTGAGCTGTGATTTTAAGGGTCTAATGGAAATGGGTGTCGAACGATGTTATTGAGTCTTACTATAAGTTCGAATTTTAGTGTGAGACTGCTTTGTTGTAGTATTTGGATGTTATGTTCTTGTATATCTTTGTTGATATCGTGTCGATTTTGTAATCTATTTAGTGCCCAGTTGTGTAATCTATTACTTTCTTGATGTTGACTAAATAGCGGTGGGGGTGCTACGAATGTATTCCAATGTAATTGTAGTGGTATATTATGAGATGATTGTTCTTGATATCGTGAATCAAGATTTGTAGGAAAATTAAGAGGAAAAGTTGATGGTGATATTTGGCTTAAAGAAGTTGTTGAAGGAAGGGAAAGTGTTTCGGGTAATATGGATAGTGTTGTATAGAATGAAACGTCAATTGGGTTGTTTACTAAGTTTGATTCACCGTGAGGGTATTTGTTAGTTGCCCAATATGGAGGGCGTTCTGTGGTTGTTGCGTTAGTAAAAGCGTTTTCCCTAATTTGTTCTGATGTCGGGGCTGAACCTAAGTAATTTGATGGAATATTTGAAGTGCTTTGTTATGAAGCCTTTGGAGGTGTACCTGGTAGTGCGCTACTAGAAAGGTCTAAGGGACTTGATGTTGGTGATTGAGATATATTAAATTAAACTCTGGGAATTTGAAAATTTCTATTTCGTCTTGGATGTATTATTTGTCTATTTATTTCGAGTGTGTTTTGGTTTTGACTGATGAGTCTTACACTCTTAAAATTTTGTTGTAGATCTGGGTAGATGTTATATTTCGTATTGCGGTCTACTTAAAGGTGCTTGGCGAAAAACTGGTTAAAATGGTTCAGATAATCGTGCGTGTCTTTCTTCAAAAGTATAGGGTTTGCCTTGGAAAGAAATGAATGTAGATGAAAGGGGGTTCTGGGTACATGTGGGGGTTGTTGGATTTTCTTGGGACGTCGTTGGAGGGGACTGGTGTGGGGGTTGTTGATTAGCAATTTTGGAAATTTCTTTGAGTGAAATTTTTATGATGAAAATTTATATTTATTCAAATATTCTTCAATAAAAAGAAACAAGAGAATGGTAGCTAATGTGAATGTGATGATTGCCTTTTTTATACACTTACATTTTGTCATTATGAGTGATGTTAAAAATGTAAGAAAAATTATGGATAGTAGAAAAACATCTCTTCTACTAAATAGATTGCAAAACATTTAAATAGTTTTTAAATTATCGTGCGTGAGGAGGTTATCAAGGATTGTGGAAAGGGATATTTACACTTCGAAGAGTGAATAAAAAATTTACAAAAGATTGCAAAAGATTATGAAAATAATGAATAGATTTTCTATGATATCAGTTAAAATTATTATGAAAAAACTTGAAGAGGTATGAAAGTTTTATGAAAAAGTTTGAAAATATTTGTTTAAATTTAGTGACTGTTGTTGAAAGAAGCATTTAAGAAATGATCTGGTTTGTCGAATCTTTTTTAATTTTTTGGGTATAAATTCGAGTGTGGTCGGATTATTTCTTGGTTTTTTGACAAGTGGGTTGGATTTCGTCAAATGTTGTTGAGGGGTTATTTTGAGATGTCGGGGAGATCTTCTTAGTTTTTTTTATGGAATAATTGGGGTTGTCGAAGAAATAATTGTACTTTAGGCTAAATGATCATGTGCTTTTTGTTCTTTAGGCTAATTAAATATTTTTGCTTGGAGGGTTTTGGAATGCTTAGTTGGGAAAATATTGTTGATCTTTGTACTGCTTGATAGGGGATGGTTGTAATATTGAGATTGTATTTATTTAGGTTGTCATTTTGTAGCGGTTTGCTTACTTTTGACCTGGAGATTTTAAAGTTATAGTTACAGTTATGCTTAGAGGTGAATACGTGTTGGCTAATAAAGTCGTGTCGCTAAAAGTAAAATGGTGATTCGGAATGAGT